GACACATCCTTTTTTTTTTTTTTTTTGCAAATAAATAAATAAATAGATTGGCTGTTTAAACTCACTGTCTGCCAGATCTATTCATGTACTTTCTAGGCTTCTGGACGTTCTGTTACTAGACTGACAGGATGGGAGGACAGAGAAATGGATTTCCGAATTGGCAGGAAGGCGGGCTTCTGTCTGCAGCCTATTGGATGATACTCTTTGGAGGACTGCAGGATTCCACTGGAGAGAAGAATTAGAGCTTCACTAAATGGACGGGACAGTTAGGAGGCCACTCTCAGTGTATTTTCCAGGAAGGACACACATGAGCTTCCTTCCTTTATCTCACTGACTGTCCCAGACCAAAGGGCTCATGGTCTGGGCTCCACATTTGTAACAGTGCCTCAATTTCCTCATTGCAAAATAATAGGATTTACTTCAGAATAATATTTGAGTGGGTGGCCCTATAGCCTGATGGTTTAGGGAAGCTAGAGCCCACATGGCTGACTGAGGTTTGAACCTCAACCCTAGAGACCTTAAAAATACACCAGGCTAGTGTGTGTGTGTGCCCCAAATCCAGACAGAATGAAGAAATGGAGGAGAAGGATTGCAGCATAACCACACCCCACTGGGGGTTGCTTTCCCTCTGTCTCTCTCTCTCTCTCCCCCACACTGAGCTGGAAAAAAGAGAAAAAAAAAAAGAAAAAAAATGTAAAAGAACAGAATATTTTTTGAGGATTAAATCACAAATACATGTAATTTTCTGAGAGTAGTGCATTACATGGAGTTGAACACTGTATTAGTGATCGCAGATGATTTCTGGGGCAATTCACCTGTCATCATCTCCAGGCATCAACATTATTTGTGAATTCAGGTAAAAATTACCCTTTTTCTTACTCATATTACAGTTACAGGGATATTTGAGAAGATAATGTTCACATGTAAAATGTTAGCAAGTTTCCTCACATAAAGCTATAGGTAAACTCTGCCCTAGGTTTGTAAGATTTCTTGAAGTAACTATCTTATTCCCAAGAGACAGTAGATATACCAGTATTTGTGATCTATAGGAAAAGAAAATGCAATAATCATCATTATTATACTTGTCTACCACTTACTATCGCTAGAACAACACCTTACCACATAGCAGGCTCTTAATAAATATTTGGTAAATTTAATTTTTTTAGAGATAAATTTTTGCTATAGGGTACATGCACTCACTGAGAGACAGAGAGAGACAGAGAAAACCACAACAAAAACAACAACAAGAAGAAATCACCCCCAGGGGGTATGGGCACACCCCAAGTCCTTCTCCATTCTCCTGTTAGGATTTTGGGCATGCACGCACATGTGCCTGGCATGTTTTAAGCCACTGGATCCAGGACTTGAACTGTGGTCAGCAACGTGTGAGGCCAGCAATATAACCATTATGCCATCTGTTGGTCCCCAAATTTAGTATAATTTTTTTAAAGAATTATTTTTTAATTATTTGTATTTATTCATTCATTTATTTGAATTTGAGCAGGGAGAGACAGAGAGAGAGGGAAAGTGAAAAAGCAAGCCACCAGGTCCTGGAGTCAAACTGTGTTCGGCCATGTGGGAGTGTCCGGCACCTTACCCACTGCACCACCCTAATTTTTCAATTCATTCTTCACAAGGAGTAGTTGAGATATATTAGATGTTCACCTTTTCCTTCTAACAATAATGACACCACTTAAATAAAGTAAACATAAAACCTCCATGACTGAGGCTGTGGAAATGACTGAAATGAAACTAAAAGTCCTTTTACAATAGGCAAAGTACTGTAAGGATGAGAAGGGCATGTTTTTGTTTTTGTTTTTCCTTATTTACCTTTGAGCTAGAGTTTAAATGATAGGCATTTCAATAACAGGGATTTTCTATGGTTTTCTGCTAAGTCTGGAAGAAGAAAACATATAGTTGTCTCCTGTGTTTGGTTTTCACAGCTGGCAGCTGAATATGAAAAGCTGGGGTAAAGGAGAAACAATAGCTATTTCAGCAGTAAAGACTTGTTTGTCTTCAGAGTATTGTCATGGAGCTATGTTTAGTGAAAGGATATGAAGCAATTATAACTCTTCTTAGAAAAAGCACAATGAAGCAGAAGGCAAACATCCTTCAGGTGATGTCATCCCGCCCATCCGAGCTGCAGTATTTACAAGCTAGGATTTTATCTACAGTCCCACTGACAGAAGCGCCTACGAATTTCCTTGGCGACAATCCGGCTTTCCACACAGATGTTATGGGGAGAGAGTCTTCCCCCACAGGCCGCTTTTGGCCCAGGATATCAAGGCTTTTTAAGGGCCGTTAGAATGGGGATAACCAGTTTCCTATTGTAGTCCCACCAACAGTGAATTGGATATCTTTGATCCATCTCATTGAGTTCCAAGTTAAGTGTTAAACAGAGAAAAAAAAAAAAAGAAAAACAAGACTGTCCTACAAATGTAGAGAGGCTTTTATTATATGGCACAGTGTAAGTATATTAAATATGTGGAAAAGAAAATATTAAAATAATGATAGGTATTACTAGAGCTTGAAAACATATTCATATAATGAACCTTGTACAAAAGTCGTGGGCAGACCCTAAATCAGATTGTGTTGCTTTATGTATTCCTCAAAAACTATGAGAATCTCCCCAACACAAGATTTGACTCCCAAACATTAAGGCTGGCTTTGAGTTAACTTTCTAGACTCTTCTACTTGGTCTACAATCTGCTCACGTTCCCTAATAAAACCCCCATGACCCTTCTCACGCTTCCTGCTGTTGTATAGCTCAAGACCTGTTTCCTGTTGATAAGTCCTGAAAGCTGGTTCAATATACTCAGGAAAAGAAATAGGTCATTACTCTCCCTGGGCCACTTGGCTTTACCAGGAAAGGACATGTTTCTCACTTGACTGTCCCTACGACGTCTTCAGAATTACTTATACGCACAGGCATTGAAAAGAGAAAAAGACGTTTCATACTCAAAAATCAATTCATGTGGTATCCTTCTCTGCTTCTCAAGCAAAAGGTGTTCTCAGCAAGTCATATGTTCAAGTTTATTTTGGGATAATATCTTATTCTTGAATTAAAAAAAAAATTGTTTATGGAGAAAATATTGTGCCTTAACATTTTTCTGTTTGTTTGAAATATTTTCTTGTATCATAAGATATTGTGAGTTTTGTTATGCAGATCAGGGCACTGAAAGGCAAATGAAGAAACATTAGCTCAAGAAAAGTAAGTCGGTCAAATAAATGCTACTGTTTTCCTGCTCATTCTCCAGAGTGGCACTTCCCGTAGGCCCTGGATTGAGGTAAAAGCCTATCTGACATGCACTCTGTAAAGTCGGTGGTTATATGTGTCACAACCTTTCACTTTCCACAACCTGACGGAAAATCACGTGCCCGGCTGCACCTTTGTTTACTCGGCAGCCATGGGCTGGTGCCATAAGCGTGCCTCGGAAGATTTCATTTCAGAAAGTGTTAAAAGCATCCTCTAGGAGACAACATGCATTTTGAAGACTTATTTTTCCCAAATAATCCCATAATCAATACCCAATGAGTCTCTGCAAACTCTCAATCAGACACAATCAAAGCAATAACTGTTTTCAGATTTCGAAAAGCATTTCTATGCTTATTTTTACAGATCTATTCTAAAACCACACACGGTTCACATTATTTACATTTATTATTAAATTTACAGTACCTAAAATGTATAAATATGGATTGAATGGAAGAAAATGGAAACTGAAACAATTATAGATGCTCATATAGACACATGTTTTTCCTGGTCTTTAATCTCTCAGAAGGGTGTACTGGAGACAGTAGTTCTGATATGAAACTGCATTCAGAATATTTCTTCCCTAGGAGAAATTCCTAGGGGAAGGAGGCAATTTTTGGTGTCTTAGTAGACACTGGAGGTATGTTTGCAAGAAATTAAGATTCTCATAAAAAGAGCTATCCCAGCAAGAAAGCAGGCCATAGACACAGCAGATGGGGTCTTCACTAAGACACTAGGAAAGGAAAAGTACAACTTTGAACAAACAAAAACAATTAGCTGTGCATTTGGCCGCTCAGTATGAGAAATGTCTGCTCATTTCTTATTGGCCATTGGTTAGGGCCAAGGATTTTACTTTTACTTGATTCGTCTACTTCAGTAAGTTGCTCACTTATACAAATCTAAGGAAAATAGGAAAACAGGGAGGTGCTATTAGATGCTAAGAAAGAAGAGAACTGGAAAGTTATCTTCAAGTCAAGATGAATTACAACTTTATGGGTTTCTGGAGCGAGTTGAAGGTACTTCCCGTGACTGGTAAAAATGTGCATGACCCCCAACTCAGAAATGCTGGTGATCCTGAATGGGAAACATGAGAACTCTTCTGGAAGTAGTGAAAGATCACCTATCTGCAATATTTTCCCTTCCCCAGTGTCTCGACTGTCCCTGACATTGGCCTCATTGGCTCAGCTCTGTTCTTGTCAGATTCAGCTGGAGAGTCGCTCTCTCCATCCCATGGCTCCGGGAGCTAACGGAGCCTCTCGGGCTTCACTGCGGCCGCCGTCCTCTCACACGCACACCGCCTCAGCTCTCTGCAGTCCTTGGCTAACGCCTTTCCATTCAGGATGGCCACGCAGTCCCTACTTCTTAGGCTGGTGACATCTACGATGATCTCAAACCTTAAAAGAATGGAAACAATGTAATCACATTTTATTTCTAAAATGGAAAAAAAAGAAGTGTTAAATCTTTTTATGTCATTTTTTAAAATTTATGCACTTGCCGGAAAGAGACGCAAAGAGAGAAGGGGAGGAAAGAAAGCACCCCCCCCAGTGAGGCATGGTCATGCCTCATTCTTCTCCATTTCTCCATTCCGTCTGGATCTAAGGCATGACTGCACACTTGCCCACTGCAGTTTTCAAGCTTCTGAGGCTGGAATTCCAATCACGGTCAGTCCTGTGGGATCCAGCTCCCTAGGCCACTAGGCAACAGGACCAGTCCTCCAAAATTCTGTTTTTATTGTCAAAGGGCACGTATGTAGTCAGAAAGAGAAAGCAGCACATCCTCTTCCCTCCCCAATAGGTCCTGGTCATGCCACAATAGTTTTTCTCCACTTCCTTAGGATCTGGGGCATGCACGCACATCTGCTCGGCGTGTTTTTCAAGACACTGGGGCAGGGACTCACACAGCGATTGGGAGGTGAAATCCAGCACCTTACACACAGCATTTAACTGAACCATGGGGCTAGCCCTAAAATGAAATATTGAGTTCTCAGAAAGCATATAGGAGTCTTCATAGGGTGATGAAATTATAGACCATACAGCCAGAGTTTTCTGGAAGGATGGGTCACCGAGCTGTTGCTTTCCAGGCCCTCAGTTTCCATACTTGTTCTTAGAAGCAGCAGGTCACCCCTTACAACAAAACTTTCTAGTGAAAATGAAAATGAAGACATATATTCTTATCTAAACATCACATAATTTTCCTGCCATGTCACAAGTTTTTTTTTTTTACCTTCTTTGTGATTCCATTAGTTTAACTGTGAAATATAAATTATTACATTGTCTATGTCCTATCTCCTAGGAGAATAAATGCTATTCTGTCTACAGGGGAGAAGAGTATTCAAACATCACTTTAGATGTAATATATTTTGGTGTAGAAATTACATCTTCCTTTTTCCAAGGATATCATTCATACTCTTATTTCAACACATCATAAGCAAAACAATGTTTTTCCGAAGATAATATTACTATTTATATTGGGGACCAGCAGGCGGCATGGTGGTTAAGGCGCTGGACACTCCCACATGGCCGACCAGGGTTCAAGTCCTGAATCTGGTGGCTAGCTTTCTCACTTCCTCTCTCTGTCACTCTCACCCTCTCTCTTGCTCTGGTCAAATTAAAAAATAAATGAATGAATAAATAAAATAAATAATTATTTTAAAAAATACTACTGTTTATATTGTCAGCAAATCTATCCTCAGAGACTGCATTTTAAAAGATGTGTTCCTTGGGCCTGCAGATAGCGTAGTGGTCAAGGCTCTGGATATGCACATGGCTGACTGAGGTTTGAGTCCTGGCAGCTTGTTTTCTCACTTTCTCTCTCTCTCTCTCTGGGAGTGTCTTTCTCTGGTCAAATTAAAGAATAATAATTAGAAAAATGAGTAAAATTAATAAATAATTCTTTTTTAAAATGTGCTTCTATTTTTTTTTTTTTTGCAAAGTAAGTAAAAAAATCAAGGTCTTGGGAACCAGCAGTTAGCATAATGGCTAAGTTTCTTGGATCCCCACGCGGTCACACGACCGCGGTTTGCATCCCGGATCCGGTGGCTTAAAACTCATGCCGGGCGCGTTTGCGAGAGGAGAATGGAGGAGAAGGGATTGCGGCGTGACCATCCCCCCTGGGGGGTGATTTCTTGCTTTCTGTCTCTATGTCTCTCTCTGTCTGGCGAGCGCATGCACCCTATAGCGAAAACCTCTCAAAAAAAAAAAATCAAGGTCTTATCCTGTCTCTGGATATTGATAAGTTGTGTGACTTTGGCAACCACCAGTATAAACTGGGATTCAGTTTACTCGTTCATAAAATCTCTCTCTTCTTTTTCTTCTTCTTTTTCTCTCTCTCCTTCCTTCTCTTATTTACACGGAATCTCAAACATAAAGTTCTGAAAGTAGCCAGACAATTGTCCCTCATATTTGGCACTACATATCTGTCCCCATCACTGTTCAAAAGCAGTTCAAGAGCAAACCCTGCTTTAAACGGCTATGGACACGGATAAACACAATATCTCGTATAACGCAGGTGTGTGGTTACTACTTGCTAAACCAAATTGTTGAACTCTGTTACTCAAGCAAAATCTCTCTATGTAATGTCTTTCCTACAAAGTATTCTGCAGACTTACAGTTCAAAAGAGTAAGGGGCTCCATCCATCCACAGCCAGACCTTGCTACTGCTGTTGCGGGAGAGCCCTGTCCAATAAGAGTAGAAAAACTCAGAGAAGCTCTGAGGCATGGCAAACTCCTGTGAAAGGCACACAAGAAAACCCTTAGCTTTACAGGTGTCAGCACACATATATACAGAGATATGTGGGGCCCGCCAGCACGTTCATGCCGGGACAACACGAGTTCCGCCTCACATTCATGATACTGCACTTCAGAGATAAAGCATTTGCAACGAGGTTGGGCACAGATTTGTCCACATTAAAGAGCTGATTTTATTGGGGGACCAGTAGTTAGCATAATGGCTATGTCGCTGGACTCCCATGTAGCCAACCACAGTTCAAATCCTGGACCCAGTGGTTTAAACTCATGCCAGGTATGTGTGCATGCGTGCCCAAGATTCCGAGAGGAGGATGGAGGAGAAGGGATTGTGATGTGGCCATCCCTCCAGGAGGGGGGTGACTTCTCGCTTTCTGTATCTCTGTCTCTCTCTGTCTTTCTGGCGAGTGCTCACACCCTATGGCACAAACCTCTCAAAAAACAAAAAACTGATTTTATCTTATATAAGTATGGCATATATACTGAAATTCTAGAACCAAGAGACACATTAATCAAGATTATATATAAACTATTATTTTTAAGGCCCAGGATTAAACACTAAGGTTGTGGAATGATTCTGGGAAATGGAAAAATATGAAAGAAAAGGTGCAGGAATGAGCAAGTCATCATTATAAATAACTGAGACAGGAGCTGATTGGAAATGAGAAAAGAATAGCATATATGTGTGTGTGTGTGTGTGTGTGTGTAAAGTGTATCTGTAGAGATTTTTGCTGTAGGGCATGTGCACTCGCTAGAGACAGAGACCGAAAGTGAGAAATCACCCCCTAGTGGGCATGGACATGCTGCAATCGGACATGCTGCAAGCCCTTCTCCCGCATTCGCCTCTCTGGATCTTGGACACACACGCACACATACCCAGAGTGAGTTTTAAGCTGCGGGATCCAGGACTCGAACTGCAGTTGACCACATGGGAGCCCAGCAGCTTAACCATTACAACATCTGCTGGTCCCTAGCAAATATATTTCAATGGAAAAAAAACAACAACAACAACAACAACAATATAAAAAAGATTTACAAGAATTTTTTACTTAAATTAGGAGGGGGAGAAAAAGACATTTTTAAAGTTCTACATATGGTGGGACTCAGAAAGTTTGTGGACAATGGAATTAAAATATGAGTTTATTTTGGCCTCCAAACATGAAGCCCGTGCATAGCTTTATCTTTTTTATTTTTTTTTTCTTTTTTAGAGGTGTGTTTGGGCATCTGCACTGACTGGGACAAGACAGAGACTGCTAGGAGGAAAGTGATAAACCACCCCCAGGGGGATGGCCACACAGCAAATGGTGGGACAAGTTTGTGGACAATGGAATTAAAATATGAGTTTATTTTGGCCTCCAAACATGAAGCCCGTGCATAGCTTTATCTTTTTTTTTTTTTTTCTTTTTTAGAGGTGTGTTTGGGCATCTGCACTGACTGGGACAAGACAGAGACTGCTAGGAGGAAAGTGATAAACCACCCCCAGGGGGATGGCCACACAGCAAGCCCTCCTCTTCCAGTCTGCTCCTGGGATCTTGGGCATGAACACACATGTGCCTGGTGTGATTTTCAAGCCACTGGGTCTGAGACTCAAACTGTGGTCAGCCATGTGGGAGTCTAGCAATATAACGGCTACACCATCTGCTGGTGCCAGCTTTCTCCTAACATACATTCTCCACGGACTTTCATATGTGTATTTCTGATATATCTGTATTAAAATTATAGTAAGTTATTTACTTTCTTATATGTAATCTCACTCTATACTGCTAATAATTTTAGCATAGAAATGATCTAAATTGATTACAATTATCCATTTTATGTCCTTCCTTTCTATCATACTATGAGTTCCTTAAGGTCACTTTTTAAAAATTTGCCAGAGGGTGCATGTACGCACTGGAGAGAGACAGAGAGAGAGAGAGAGGCAGAAAGAAGGTGAGAAAGCACCCCCAGTGGGGAATGATCACAGTGCAATTCTTCTCTTCCCTCTCTCCCTCCTTCGGGGATGTGGGCACATATGCAAATATAGCCAGCATGTTTTTCCAGCCACTGGGCCCAGGACTTAAACTACACAGTCAACCACGTGGGATACAGCTGCCTTAACCACCATGCTGCTGTCTGCTCCATGTGCTTTGCTTTATTCACTGTTATTCATTGTTGTGTTATTGGTAAACATCGACCCAATAAGAAATGATTGGAGGCCAGCAGGTGATGTGTTGGTTGACGTGTCGGACTCCCACGCGGTCAGCCTTGGTTGGAGTCCCGGATCTGGCAGCTTGAAAATCACACCCGGCAGGTGTGCTTGCCTGCCCAAAATCCCAACAGGAGAATGGAAGAGAAAGGACTGTGGCATGGCCCTCCCCTCGAGGGAGTGATTTCTCACTTTCCCTCTTTCTGTCTCTCTTCACATGCCCTATCACAAAAACAAACAAGAGAGAGAGGGATTACTGGAAATACAAGTGAAAGAAAGTTATTGCTAAATAGTAATCACAGACATGAAAAGAACTATATTTGAAAAGATTATGTCCAGGCTGGCTACTGTTAAGTGGCTTTGTGGTTTTTTGTTTGTTTGTTTGTTTGTTTGTTTTGCTATAGGGCGCATGCGCTCTCCAGAAAGACAGAGAGAGACAGAGAAATAGAAAGCAAGAAATCACCCCCCAGGGTGAATGGCCATGCCACAATCCTTTCTCCTCCATTCTCCTTTCTAAGACTTCGGCACACATGCACACACGCCTGGCGTGAGTTTAAGCCACCGTGTCTGGGACTCGAACTACGGTCAACTACATGGGAGTCCAGTGATATAGCCATTACTCCAACTGCTGGTCCCAAGTGGCCTTGTGATTAAGAGAGCTGGATCCCACATAGCTGATAAAAGCCTGAATTCCAGTCTGGGTAACTTGAAAAACACACTGACCATTTGTGCATGCATTCCCTCAACCCCGCCACCACCACCACCGGAAAAAAAAAAAAAAAAATTCCCATAAAATGGAGAAATGGAAGAGAACGAAAAGTGGACCTTGCCCCAATGGTGGGTTCCTTCAAATTTAAAGTTCTGAAAATAGATCACATGAAAATGGTTTACGTACGCAAAGTATGAGAGAATAGAGCCATTTGATTTCGTAACAAAATGTTTTACCATTAACATACTATAGTTAATTGGACACCTGAGTCTTCAGTACTTGCAGGAGGCAGAGAAAACGGAAAGTAAGAAAATTAGTTTTAGTCAAAGAAATTGCCTCTCTGTATACCTAAATCGAACCATCAAAAAAAAGGAGAAATAAACTGCAGAGGTTCATTCATATAGATTTTTAAAAATGGGTAGCGATAAGATGGAAATAGGGAGGGCCAGCACATGCTGTAATGGCTATGTCACTGGACTCCCACATAGGCGACTGCAGTTCAAGTCTCAGACCCGACAAGTTATCTTTCTGGCGAGTGCACGAACCCTATAGCAATAATCTCTCCAAAAAAAAAAAAAATTGTGGAATGACCATCCCCCACAGGGGATGCTTTCCCACTTTCTCTCTCTTTCTCTCACACTCTCTCTCTCTCTCTCTCTCTCTCTCTCTGCTAGCCAACCTGACCTGCTGGCTGCTGGCAATTTTTTTGAAGGGCCAGTAGATGACATGGAGATTAAGGTGGCTGGATCCCACCTAGCCAACTGCATGGCTCAAGTCCTGGCCCCAGCAGCCTGAAAACCACACTGGGTGCATGGCATGCCCTAAATCCTGAGAGGTGAATGCAGAAGAAATAGTGGAGTGGCCATCTGCCCTAGGGGGTGATTTCTCACTTTCTCTCTCACCCTCTCTCTGTCTCCAGCTGGCACATTCAGCTTATAGCAAAAATTAGAATAAAAAATAGAAGGATGTTGAGAATGTGTATAATGAGTTGGATATTTAATTCAAGTAATAGACTTTCTTGATAATCTATTTTGCACTAAGACCTCTGTTAAATTTTAGAAAAACAATGATACATATGTAATGGTCACACTGCTTGAGGAATTCAGTTCAAAGGCAGTAAGAAATCTGAGAGAGAGGGGAATAATCACACCATTTTAGTAGTCTAACCTCCTGTCTGCTTACTCAATATATGTCATTTGAGTTTTAGTTTCATATTTGCCTTGACCAGTCTGTCTTAAGCTGTAAAAGTCTGGAAGGCAATACACACACACACATACACACACACACACACACACACACACACACACACACACACATATATGCAAGTTCTAATGATTTGATCAGATATTTTTAAAAACTTTTCATCACTCTTACAATGGAAGACACTGTTTTTTCATCTTTTGACATTACCTCAATATTGTGACTGTGGTGGGGTAAGAGGGCATTTTCAAGAGCAAGTTCTCATGTTTCTAAGGAGTGGGTATTTGTGCAGAACAGAACTCTTTTATATGCTTTGGGTAATCATTCAAAGCAATGGATATAAACTTAGGTCTTGATTTCCATAAGTGGGGAAATCTGTGGACCAATATCCTTTTATGTTTTGGACCAATATCCTTGCCTTCTTAGAATCTGCTTGTATGTTCTTTTAAATGTACTTTATTTTATTTTTTTCTTTTTCTCTTTTTTATGCTGTCGTTTTTTAAAAATTATGACTTCTGGTTTATGTATATTCAATTTATATCTGTGTGGAGTGTGTAATAATCAAATCAAGGATATATACCTATGCGTCTTCTTCAGCATTGAGCATTATATTATGCTGTGCACACTTGGTAACAGTTTTACCAGGTACTTTTTTAAAAGTATGTATTAGATTGCCCATAGTTTTCCTCTGCTGTGGTACACCATCCCACAGCCTCTTCCTCTTACTACATACATTCTTTTGTCCTTTTAAAATTTTCTCCCACCCCTCACTCCCACATCGCTCCTGGTATCTACCTTCACTATTTATGCTTTTGAGTACTTCCATTTCCACTATAGAGAGTGAGCACTTTAGTTTTGTTTGCTTTTTGTTTTTTAAAAGAGATCTTTTTTTTTTTTTTTGGAGAGGTTATTTTTTGCTATAGGGCATGTGTGCTCACCAGACAGACAGAGAGAGACATAGAGACAGAAAGCGAGAAATTACCCCCTAGGGGGGATGGTCACGCCGCAATCCCTTCTCCTCCATTCTCCTCTCGGGATCTTGGGCACGCACGCACACGTGCCCAGCGTGAGTTTTCAGCCACCGGGTCCGGGACGCGAACCGCGGTTGACTACGTGGGAGTCCAGTGACATAGCCATTCTGCTAACTGCTGGTTCCCAAGAGAGATTTTTGAAATAGGGCATGTACACTCACCGGAGAGACGGAGAGAGACAGAAAGAGAGAAATCAGCCTCCGGGAGGGATGGCTATGCCACAATCCCTTCTCCTCCATTCTCCTCTTGGGATTTTGGGCACGCATGCACACACACTGGCCTGAGTTTTAAACTGCCCAGTTTGGGATTTGAACCATAGTCGACTATGTGGGACTCCAGTGATGTAACCATTACACCATCTGCTGGCTGGTCCCAGACTTTTGGTATTTTAAGGTCGCTCTTCGATTCTCTTTGAGAATCCTTCAAATGTTGCAAAGCCCTAGGCTCTTACCAGCACTTCTTGTGTGTTTATCTTCAGCATGGTTGCATTCTCAGCAATGCAGAAATAGTCACAGCCCTGCCAACTTTTGCTCTCTTTGGAGAACTGGTAGCATTTGTCCCCATTCCACTTCCATTTTTCTGGGCAAGGGCTGCAACTGTGTTCTTGGGAGAAAAACAACAACAGCAACAACTAATTTTAATAACATATTTTCTTCCTGATTCTATTGTTCACTCTCTTGAAATTATATAACATTTGATGTCCCAAGAAAGAACTCATTCCCTTTCTCTTAGATATTTAATTTCCTAGTCAATGATAACAACAAATAGTTACTGAACACATATTATATTCTGGAAATTGTAATCAGTGTTGAATATACAATGAAAATTGAAACAGACACTAACTGTTCATATGGAGTGTGGAATTTGGTAATGCATTAGAACTTTCTGGTACTCGTCTATGCAATTTAGCCCATAGAGAGAATATTCTATTTTATGAAGCTGTCCTATATTCATAAGAAATTAAAAATGTATTCAAGAAACAATTATAGGGACCAGCAGTTAGCATAATGTCTATGTTGCTGGACTCCCACGTAGTCAACCGCTGTTCGAGTCCCGGACCTGGCGGCTTAAACTCACGCCGGGCGCGTGTGCGTGCGTGCCCAAGATCCCGAGAGGAGAATGGAGGAGGAGAGGTTGCAGCATGGCCCTCCCCCCTGGGGGGTGATTTCTCACTTTCTATCTCTCTGTCTCTCTCTGTCTGGCGAGCACACGCGCCCTATAGCAAAAACCTCCCCCCCCCAAAAAAAAGAAACAACTATAGGCAGCTGCGATGATGCTGTGGTGACATAACACTCTTCAATGCTGGAGCCATCCCAGGGTCCCCTATATACACACCAGGCAAGAGCATGTGTGATTGTACTCCCGGCTGGTCGAGGCTGGGAGCCGGTCCCGGTATAAAACCTGCATTGTTGGGAACCAGCAGTTAGCATAATGGCTATGTCGCTGGACTCCCACATAGTTGACCGCGGTTCGTGTCCTGGACCCGGTGGCTTAAAACTCACGCCGGGCGCATGTGCGTGCGTGCCCAAGATCCCGAGAGGAGAATGGAGGAGAAGGGATTGGGGCGTGACCATCCCCCCTGGGGGGTGATTTCTTGCTTTCTGTCTCTATGTCTCTGTTTGTCTGGTGAGCGCACGCGCCCTATAGTGAAAACCTCTCAAAAAAAAAAAAGAAAAAGAAAAAAAACCTGCATTGTTGAGAATGTTACCATGCTGCCTGGGGTGACTGTTTTCCTCCTTAGCTCCCTCTGTGTGTCTTTCTCAGACAAGAAATAAATTCATATGCTTTAAAAATAAAAAAACAGGGCCAGCTAGCAGCATGGTGGTTTAGGTATTGGATTCCCACCTGGCAAATCATGGTTCAAGTCCCAGACCCAGTAGCTTGAAAATCTCAACAAGGTGGGACCAGCAGGTGGTGTAATGGTTACATTAATAGTCTCCCACATAGTAGACCACAGTTCAAGTCCCAGACCTGGCGGCTTAAAACTCACACCAGGTGCATGTGCATGTGTGCTCAAAATCCCAAGAGGAGAACGGAGAAGAAGGGATTGTGGTATGGTCCTCTCCCCTGGGAGGGGAGGGGATAATTTCTCACTTTCTGTCTCTCTGTCTCTCCAGCAAGTGCATATACCCTATAGCAAAAATATCTCTTAAAAATAAAGTAAAATAAAATAAAATAGATAAATAAGTGTTTTAAAAAACAAAGTTTTTATAATTTTCTTTCTCTAAATTTTTATAATATAGCAAAATAATTTTTAAAAATATAATATATGTCCATATGATATAGGCTCACTCTACACAAAGATAAGACTTTAGAGGAAAAAAAATAAGTACAGAGACAAGCATGAAGTTAGAAAGGTAAACTCCATATATTAGATATAAAGATGGGCCTCTAAGTCAGAGAAGTAAATACATAAGTCAAGGGTGAGATTTTGGTTTTTTATTTATTTCTTCTGTGAGTGAGAGAGACAGTGCCTGCAACAGGCTCTTGACACCGCAGTCCACCTCGGGCTTCAGCCATCCCTGAATCATGCACAGGCTTGTGCCTGGCAGACTCAGGGAGGTCTCCAGACATGAACTGGGAACCTTCGCAGTGAGATTGTCTCTCAGGGCATTGCTTTTTACTGCTGTGCCACCATTTGACCCCAACAGGTGAGATGGTTTTAACACCTATGTGGGTACTTGGCCTTGGTATTTGAGAGTTAGGGACCCATTACTGCGTCTCCTGTGAAAATGGTAAAGTGGAAACGTCAATGCTCTCCATAATAGTTTCTTTATTTCAGAATCACTCAGTGTCCAAATGTGAACCTTTCGAAATCGGAGTGGTCAATACACAGATAGGTGTCATGTTATTTGAAATATCCATAAGGTAAAACAACAGTTTAAATAAATTAATAACGTGGGAGGTTATATTGGTCATGTTATGACATGGCCAGGTTGCTGGGGCCCCAACAGCTCCTGTGTCGCTCAGTTCTGTATGTCTTCGATATCCACCAGGAGAAGTCGCAAAGCTGGAAAAATTCCCTCACACACACAAGAAGCTACAAACTTCCTAAGACAGGGAACAAAAGAGGGAATGCTATTTACCTAAAAGGATGGTTTTAAAGGTTAAAAACTACTAGATAAATAGATGATAGTGCAGCCAGCACAGTGACCGACACGTATAGCGTAGTCACTAACTGTACTGCTGTTCTGGGGATCAGACTGGTGATGCCAGGACGAGTGCTAGGCTGAACAGATCATGAAGCTCAATCAGGGTTCAACTGGAGGGTTGCTCTGTACATAGTATCTACCCAGTCTCCTATTTGTCTTTCACTCCCTCACTCACTCCAGGTCCATAGGCTCCTTATTATTATTTGAATATGCAAATGAATTCAAATTTTGGAGCTATCACATGCCCTGTTTTGCCTACATGCTTTATACTTCCTCCATAGATTTACATGGCTAACTCTCTCAACTCTTCATGACTTCACTACTATCTTATGGTCATAATTCTGGATTTAGGCATCGCAATTTAAAAGACTATCCTTCCACTCTTGAATTCATGATCCCCCTACCTTGTCTATCTTTATTTCCCACCAGACTGATTTGTAGAACACTTAGATTAGCCAGTCATTCTCGGGTGCCTGGAATCTTGGGTTTCCAGAATGTGGGACTTTTAGTACTAAAACTGGGAAAGTTTTAAGCAAACTAGGACAGGTTGGTTACTTTATTTTATGGAATTTTTTAAAGAAATTATTCATTTAATTGTATTTATTAATAGTAGTATCTTTTTCTTTTCTTTTTAATTTGCTATGGGGCACATGCTCTTACCAGAGAGACACAGAAAGAGAGGGGAAAGTGAGAGAGAAAGTTACCAGGTCAAATCATGGTTGGCCATGTGGGAATCCAGCACTTTAACTACCATGTCACCTACTGGCTCTCTTATTTTATGCTTTTAATATATTATTACTAATATCCAAATAGAGTCAGATGTCCATGTGGTAAAGTGGAAACGTCAATGCTCTCCATAATAGTTTCTTTATTTCAGAATCACTCAGTGTCCAAATGTGAACCTTTCGAAATCGGAGTGGTCAATACACAGATAGGTGTCATGTTATTTGAAATATCCATAAGGTAAAACAACAGTTTAAATAAATTAATAACGTGGGAGGTTATATTGGTCATGTTATGACATGGCCAGGTTGCTGGGGCCCCAACAGCTCCTGTGTCGCTCAGTTCTGTATGTCTTCGATATCCACCAGGAGAAGTCGCAAAGCTGGAAAAATTCCCTCACACACACAAGAAGCTACAAACTTCCTAAGACAGGGAACAAAAGAGGGAATGCTATTTACCTAAAAGGATGGTTTTAAAGGTTAAAAACTACTAGATAAATAGATGATAGTGCAGCCAGCACAGTGACCGACACGTATAGCGTAGTCACTAACTGTACTGCTGTTCTGGGGATCAGACTGGTGATGCCAGGACGAGTGCTAGGCTGAACAGATCATGAAGCTCAATCAGGGTTCAACTGGAGGGTTGCTCTGTACATAGTATCTACCCAGTCTCCTATTTGTCTTTCACTCCCTCACTCACTCCAGGTCCATAGGCTCCTTATTATTATTTGAATATGCAAATGAATTCAAATTTTGGAGCTATCACATGCCCTGTTTTGCCTACATGCTTTATACTTCCTCCATAGATTTACATGGCTAACTCTCTCAACTCTTCATGACTTCACTACTATCTTATGGTCATAATTCTGGATTTAGGCATCGCAATTTAAAAGACTATCCTTCCACTCTTGAATTCATGATCCCCCTACCTTGTCTATCTTTATTTCCCACCGGACTGATTTGTAGAACACTTAGATTAGCCAGTCATTCTCGGGTGCCTGGAATCTTGGGTTTCCAGAATGTGGGACTTTTAGTACTAAAACTGGGAAAGTTTTAAGCAAACTAGGACAGGTTGGTTACTTTATTTTATGGAATTTTTTAAAGAAATTATTCATTTAATTGTATTTATTAATAGTAGTATCTTTTTCTTTTCTTTTTAATTTGCTATGGGGCACATGCTCTTACCAGAGAGACACAGAAAGAGAGGGGAAAGTGAGAGAGAAAGTTACCAGGTCAAATCATGGTTGGCCATGTGGGAATCCAGCACTTTAACTACCATGTCACCTACTGGCTCTCTTATTTTATGCTTTTAATATATTATTACTAATATCCAAATAGAGTCAGATGTCCATGAAGGTAAAAGTTCTGTGTGCTTACATGACATACATAATTTGGTACTCAACAAATGTTATAAACAAAATAGCAGCAGTACTAGCTGGCTGGCTGGATAATAGGTAAGAGGAAAATAACAGATGAGAAGCAACTGAATAAAACCAAAAGCTCACATCAACTAAAAATGGAAGAGAATAAGCAGCATCATTGACACATTTGCACTGTAGATTTTATATTTAAATTATGACTCATGTGCATGGCTTCTCTTTTGCTTTGTTCTGGTACAGCTAAGAAAATTGCAGAGACCATTGGTGTCAGAGAACCCTGGATTATCTTTTTGATACGGCCTCCAACAAAGAAGTATGAGCACGGGCTGTCCAAAAAATAAGAAAGAAAAGAAAATGTGACCAGTGAGATCATTAGTCATGGGACACTTCCATGATTGAGAAGCGGCAATGGGCCTGTGGATGCTATTTCCTGGGTAGCCAAGCAATCAGGGCATCTGCTTCGGGTAGGTAGTGATGAGCTGTATGATGGTCTTCATCCTACTTTAGCGTTCCAAAAGATAAATAAAAACGGAAGACTATGCTTCCTATGTATGCACAGGAAAGCAGAAGAAAGGACTGACTTGAATGAAATCGACCATTACAAAACTCAGGAAGGGAGGACAGCAGAGTAAGACACACGCACACTCACACTTGTGTGTATGTGTACTAAAGTGACGCCTTTAGTCTTGTCCAGTACTATTTTTATCAAAGTGTGGTTCACCTACTATTGACATTGTCATTGTCTTTAGTCCTCATTAAAGTGCATAGTTTTAATATCTAGTCATGTCATCGGAATTAAAATAACAGGGATCTGATTGTGCATTTTAGAAGTGATTCCTGTATGAGTCATAAAATTTGGGAACTATAACAATACATTTGTTAATTTCTTAATCATAAAATATCTGTAAGCACATGTACTAAGGTAAATTGAGATGTAGCCCTGTATTTTGTTTATTTGCAGTGTAATTTTGGCTATTTCATTGATTTGTTTATATATTTCCTCCACTTGCAAGAGAGACAGAAACAAAGATGGAAAAGTAGCACCCTAACGAGGTCTGCATGCTGTGATCCACACCCAGTCTTAGCCAGCCCTGGGTCATGAGAAAGCACGTGCCCACTGTATTCAGTGTGGGACCCAGACTTAAACCACGAACCTAACCTTACCAGGTCCTCAGACTTGAACCAGGATTGCTTTGCAGAGTTTCATATTTCTTACTTCTACCCCACAGTCTGGCCTCTGTTTTTACCATTTAAATGTCTGCATTCAAAGACTCCATTCAGGTGTCGTAACACAGACATATATAAACTGCCTGATCCCGATAACTGGTCATAATCATGTGACTCGAACTCTTTATCAAGTTTGCCAGACAGCTAGCTGCATAATGTACCACTCCCAATTATACTGATGAGAAATTTGGCTCTATATTGACAGATATCCTGGGAGCCGTGAGATTAGGACACACTTACCTCCAGTTTTATTGTAGAGCTCACGACAGAGTTTTTCAGCCACACGCTGCAGAGTTCCTGCGAGCTTCCTGTTCTCCGCTTGGAGAGATTGCAGCTGTAGGGAGAGATTCCCCAATACTTCTTCCTTTTGAGAGATGGTGTCTTTCTGAGTATTGGAGAGCTGGTAGAACTGGAAAACTAACCCAAGCGACCAAGTCAGACTGGACAGCTCATTTCTTCATTTCTATTTCTATTTTTTACATATGTGAAAGACAAAATGATATATTGTTGAAGATCTTAGGCTCTGAGTTCTCTCATATTTCCTGTATTCAAATCTGGACTCCAGTACATATGTAAGTTGTATCACCTTGAGAAAATTAATTTAATCTGCTCTGAAAATGTAAAGCCTAATAGCAGTTCCTAACATCAAAAGTAATTTCTGAACTATATTTAGGCTTCAGTAAATACATTTGAGTACACTCTCAACTACTCAATCTATAACCACAAAACCATTTACCTAGTGATCCTTAAATTGAGTACTGACAATGTATCATACATTGTTATTCATCCATTATTAAAATAGCTTTATTATTGTTTTTGTATTTTCATAGATTTGTGATTACAATCAGTGAGAAGCAACTTCCTTAATGTCACTTGACTAGAAAATTTCAACATCTACATTTCAACTTTCGGTTTCTAAATCTAAGTAGAGAAATTCCTCATGAATCATGAGATTGCTTTTTATTCCTAAGAAGAACGGTATTGTAAAACAAATAAATAAATAAATAAATATAAAAATGAATTAAAAGTTTGTGGATTGAGAAGAAACAATAAGAAATAAATTTTTAAGTTCAAAATTCAAGATCACAAAAAACTTGTAAAATGTTCTACAAAAGCCTAATTTTTAACTTAAAACCTGCTCTTCTATATGAATCATTGCCTTGAATCACCTTCATCTGTTCAGGAGGCATTGCCTGATGAGGTAAATTCACCCCCTCCCTTTTTTAAACAATTGAACTTGTCCTTGGTAGTTTGAAATTGGAAGACTTTTACACATGCATTCTTCTTTGTTTGATTTTCACAAGTTTTTGCAAAATTATAACTTCCTGAAGAATACTGTACTGATTAAGATACTCTGCCAGAATTAGGGGTGTGAGGTATAAATAAAATCTTATATGCCCCAGCTCATTGAGCCACACAGACTGAGAGAAAATCTCCCTACTCTTTTGTGGAATGGGAGAAGGCTGAAGCATTCATTTATTTTAAAATGATTCTTTTAAGCACTGACATATAAACAGACAAAATCATTCTTATCTCAAATAGAAGATTTCATTTTAGTTGGCAAACAACTGCTAAGTTGTCATTTTTTTTTCCTTTCTCCACTTTTTTTATTGCTAGAGGGTGTGTGTGTGTAGGTGAGAGAGAGAGCGAGCACACACTTCCCAATGGGGCATAGTCATGCTGCAAACGCTTTCCTCCATTTCTTCATCCCTTCAGGATCTTGGGCACGTACACACATGTCCCTGTGTGTTTCCTAAGCTGCGGTCAGCCATGTGAGATCCAAGTTCCTCAACCACTAAGCTGTGGATTGATTGCTATCTATATATACTTAGGCCAGAGGGCACGTGCAGTTGCAAGAGAGAAGAGGAAGTATGCTCCATGGGGAATGGTCAGGCCACAATCGCTTCTCTCCCATCTCTCCCTTCTTTTGGAATGTTGGGCACACATGCACATGTACCCAGCATGTTTCTCAAGCCTCCGGGTCTAAACCCCACAGTCAGCCATGTGGGATCTAGCTGCCTTGACCACCATGCCACAGAGCCAGCCCAATTTCTATGTTTTAATTATTATTCTACTCTTTATCATTTAAATAGTTGCCGGTTGAAAAAAGTACATTGAATTTTCTTCAGGTCTCAGAATTAAAGTAAAAAAAAAAAATCCCTAACAAGTGTTCCTCCTCCTAGACAAACCTTGCAGCCAGGATACTTCCCCAGACCCCCAAACCCGAATTCAGACTTACATACAAGGCCCAGAGCTGCCAGTCCAGTCAACAGCACCAAGCACAAGGTCAGCAGGGTCAGGGCCACTGGTCGCCATGCTGCAGAGGGAGCCCTGTGCTCTGTAAGGAGCAAAGGGGAAAGCAAGACTTGGTATCTTGGATCTAAGTCAGCAGCAAGCAAGCGAGATAAGTCGGGTCTGGACAGGAATCAATTATGCAGGACAAGAGTAATCAGGGCAAGTTACTCTCTGTCCTCAGAGACAACAGCGTAAGACTCAGGACCGTGCCTCAGTTATCAGCTAGAGATTTTCCTAAGCCTCATCCATTTCGATCCACTCCCTACTCCAATTCTACTTTAAACTGAAACCATGTTGTGCATTACCATTTCCTTTGTGTCTGTTCATCCAAATTCTAATTACAAAAGACTCATGGGAAATGCCTGAAAAGGACCCCAGGAAGTCCTGAGACAACATGGAACATCTTGTCACATCATCAGGGAAACAATGAAATGAATTTGCTGTTACTCTTGCAAAACACTTCCGCCCATCTTCTATATGTTTCTTTTTAAACAGCAAATTGCCGGGCCGGTAGGTGACGCGTAGTAGTTATAGTTCTGGTTTCCCGCATGGCTTATGGTGGTTCAAGACCCAGACCCAGTGGCTTCAAACTCACACCAGGTGCGTGTGTGTGCATGCCCCAAATCTCAAGAGGAGAATGGAGACAAAGCGATTCTGGTGTGGCACTCACAGAGAGTGAGTGCATGCACCCTATAGCAAATCTCTCTCTATAAACAAATAAATGAAAAACAAATTGCATATCAGCAATGGAAAACAATCATTTCACTCTTTCTTTTTGGAGTAGCTTTGCAGAAAGTGTCTATTATAACGATGTCATTTGATCACTTATTTGATGTATGTCTCCCAAAAGCAGGTTATAAAAAAAACAAGATCATCAACTTTTCAGGGCTGTCCATAAACAATCTCTGTTTTGGCACCACTAAAAAATAATAACAAAAAAAAAAAAAAACGTAAACAATCTCTGTTTTGGCACCACTGAAAAATACTAACAAAAAAAAAAAAAAAGAAAAGAAAAGAAAAAAAGTCTGACATCTTTTCCTTTTTTCCCTATCCCCATGAGTTTGGCTTGGAACTGCAAAGACTTCACTGTCAGGCGTGGGTAGACCCGTCACCTAGTAAAATCATCTGTTTGGGCCTGAATGACCTGAGATACCTGACAGGAAAGGCCCAGTCAGGTGCCTGTAGCATCCTGGAATGTGACTGAAATGAAACACAGGGAGAGGGAAACAGTGAAATGTGCTTTCTTTATGACATGTCAACGGCACTTCAGTGAGAACTCAGGTCCAGTTATAAAACACAAAGATTAAAGAGACATAAATCTTTTTCCTGCCAGCAAGGTCCTCTACAAAATCCATTTTAGGCACAGAGATTGGTACTAAACCTTATTTCAAGTAGGAGATAATAATTGTACAATGGAACATACAAGCTAGAAGGGAAAATAATTGAAAATCACAGAGTAGACTTATTGAATATTTTAAAACATGAATCTTATTTCTCACTAATCACCTCTTTCATAAATAACTTATGTGTCACCTCTTTCATAAATAACTTATGTGGTTAAATATTTAAAATTCAAATCACTTTTCATAGATTTCTTTTTAAATAAAAAAAAAACACACACACAGAAATTTTATGATGGTATCTTCAGACTGGAAAACTTCTAGTAGTGAAACCAGTGCAGTTGTGCAGACTCTGGAATCCCACATGGTTGACCACAGTTTGAGTCCTGAACTTGGCAACTTGAAAATCATGCCAGGCATGTGTGTGTGCGTGCCCAAAAATCCCAGGACGAGAATGGAGGACAATGGCCAACCCCTGGGAGGTGATGCTCACTTTCTGTCTCACTGTCTCTCTATTCTCTCTCCAGCAAGTGCCCAAACCTAAAAAATATATAAAATAATTAAAAAAAAAAAAAAAGCGGGACCAGCAGTTAGCGTAATGGCTATGTCACTGGACTCCCACGTAGTCGACCGCAGTTCGCGTCCCGGACCCGGTGGCTTAAAACTCATGCTGGACGCGTGTGCGTGCGTGCCCAAGATCCCGAGAGGAGAATGGAGGAGAAGGGATTGCGGCATGACCATCCCCCCTGGGGGGTGATTTCTCACTTTCTGTCTCTCTGTCTCTCTCTGTCTGTCTGGCGAGCGCATGTGCCCTGTAGCAAAAACCTCTCCAAAAAAAAAAAAAAAAAAACCTTTCAATAGCATTATTTCACTTAGAAAAAAATGCTACAATGATTTTTACTTTGAAACCCTACCTAGCTATTTTAATCTCTTTCTGAGCTATTTTTCATTCACTGAAATGCTCTACTCCACTTACTGAAATACTCTACTCACGGTGACCTCGTTCTATTTTTGAACCAATCCAGCTTGTCCCTCTCAGTATAGATAATCCATGACTAGTATTCTACTTCCTGTTAGTCAGCTCTCAGCTTAAATGGCATGGCTTTGGAAGTGGCCCATCAGTCTGTCTCTACCACATCACTCATTCTGTTTCATAGGTATTTTTTCAAATAAGATTATTACATAATAGTTTAGATAATATTTCACAACTTCGTTGTTTTGTTCATCTCCCCCAAAACATGCCCTCCATTATAGCAGTGATCTCGTCTCTCTCATTCAGCCGCGTAATTCCAGTTCTAAAGAAAGTGTACGGCACTTTAAGGCTGAATAAACATCTTTAAAAAAAAAAATTGCCAGTGATCCAGTCTCCTTATCTACCGTGCTATCAACTGTTGCTGAATAAACATATAATGTTTAATAAATGAAGAACGAAATTATTTTTAAAAATTATCATTACCAGTGTCCGCAGGTGGTACAATGGTTATCCACATGGCTGATCACGTTTCGTGTCCTGGACCCCGCAGCTTGAAACTCACGCCGGGTATGTGTGTCTACATGCCCAAAATCCCAGGAGGAGAATGGAGGAGAAGAGACTGCAGTGTGGCCATCCCTGTTGGGAGTTGGTTTCTCACCTTCCCTCTCACTGTCTCTCTCTGTCTCTCTCCAGCAAGTGCACATGCCCTATGGCAAAAACCTTCAAAAAAAAAAAATTGAACATTACCTAAACTATGTAAGTTTTGCAGAAGCACGAGAGGTGACGTCATGTTAAATATAGAGGTCAAATTTTTTAAATCTCTTGGCTTTTCAGCAACATTTCTGTTGGCAGAGGACAAAGTCTGTGCATCACATCCCCTGTCACACTGTCTGTAAACTGACTTGTGCAACATTCCGTATCATGAACAAATACGGAAGAGGTCTGCTTCCTCTCCTACTGCCTCGTCGCGCTGACCCATGTGTTTTAGGATAAACTTTCCTGGGAAAAGATGGTTTCTCATAGCATTGACTGTAAGAGTATCTTGGATCAGTGGGACATAAAACAACATCAAGGGCAAAATACAGTGTAGGCCAAGCATACTCTCTAAAACCTGAAGTATTTGGTGGGACCAGCAGGGGGTGTAGTGGTTACCGTGCTGGACTCCTCCGTGGCTGACTGGCGTTCAAGTCCCTGAACTGGTGGTTTGAAAATCATGCAGAGCATGTGTGCATGTGTGCCTAAAGTCTCTGGGGGAAAATGGAGGAGAAGAGATTATGAAATGACTATCCCTCCTGGAAAATGAGTTCTCACTTTCCCTGTCACTGTCTGTCTGTCTGTCTCTCTCTCTCTCTCTCTCTCTCTCCAGTGAGCACACACACCCTATGGCAAAATCCTGAATGAATAAATAAATAAATAAATAAATAAAATCTGAAGTATCTTTTTAAGTTCAATACAGTCCAGAAAAAATAACCATGCAGGTGTTTTTTTTTTGTTTTTGTTTTTGTTTTTTTTTTGAGAGATTTTCACTGTAGGGCGCGTGCGCTCGCCAGACAGACAGAGAGAGACATAGAGACAGAAAGCGAGAAATCATCCCCCCAGAGGGGATGGTCACGCCGCAATCCCTTCTTCTCCATTCTCCTCTTGGGATCTTGGGCACGCACGCACACGCGCCCGGCGTGAGTTTTAAGCCACCGGGTCCGGGACACGAACTGCGGTCGACTACGTGGGAGTCCAGCGACATAGCCATTACGCTAACTGCTGGTTCCTACCATGCAGGTGTTTTGAAGTTGCAGAGGTATAACACCCAACATCGTGGTTTTATCTTCTCAGTATCTCTTATTACCATTAAGGAATTCAGTGGTGATTTACAAATCATTCTCCTCCACCTCCTCCTCCCTCTCCTTCCTCTCTCTCTCTCTCTCTTTGTCATTCCTCCTTCCTCAATATTCATAATCCTTCCCTGTTTTATCTAAGGCCCAGAGAAATACTACTCTAGGGAATTTGCTCAATGATAGTAACAGATGTTTATTTTTGTTGGCTTATACTTGTCTTATCCCAGTAAAAAGTAATCTCCTTCTTAAAAAAGGTTATTATTTATTTAGCACCTAGAACAGCAAATGAAACGAGCTCAATCAATGTTTGAATGAATATATCTATTATATGGAAATATCTCTGTTACATGTCTGGTTATATCTTTTCAAACTTATTTATATTAGTACATATTTCAAAGGCATAAAGATATTTTTAAGTGCTATTTTTTAAGAGTTTTTTGGTTTTGTTTTTGTTCTTTTCTTTGTTTGCTACAGGACATCTCTGCATTCACCAGAGAGACAAAGAAAGACAGAGAGAAAGAAAGTGAGAAGTCACCCCCGAGAGAGTATGGCCATGCCACAGTCCCTTCCCCTCCATTCTCCTTTCAGAATCTTGGGCACGCGTGCACACACACCCGGCATGAGTTTTAAGCCACCAGGTCCAGGACTCAAACCTCAGGTGAGTACATGGGAGTCCAGCAACGTAACCCTTTCACCATCTGCTGGTCCCAAACACTATCTTTTTATAATCAACATTTTCCTGGGAAAAGTTAAAAATAATACAATGATAAATGAGGAAAAGAACTATGAAAATCAACCAAATTAGGTATCTCTTTAAAATACTGCACAACACTGCATAACAATGGAGCCTTGCATAATACTGGGGCCAAGAAGGACAGATCTTCTGTTCAAAGGAGCA